TTCTCCATAATATAGTTAGTTTCCTCTAAACTGAACATCATTTTCTGTCTCTTCTCCATAATATAGTTGCATAGTCTCCTCTAAATTGAACACCATGTCTCTTCTCCATAGTATAAATGCATTGACCCTTCTCAACCTAATACCATTTCCTGTCCCTACTCCATAACATAGTTACAGTCTCCTCTAAACTGAACACCGTTTCCTGCCCCTTCTTCATAGTATAAATGCATAGACCCTTCTAAACCTAACACCATTTTCTGTTCCTTCTCCATAATATAGTTATATAGACCTAACTGATGAGTACCATAGAGTCACATGGCCTGAGCACGTCAACCATATATTTTTTTCATCAGATTTTTAGTACAGTTTTTTATATATTTATATGTGCTTCTATTAGAACAATAATGCTACATTGCGGTGTAATTAAATATTGTATTGTTGTCATAACAGCTCACACACATGGTCGAATCAGTTTTGAAATTTGAGTACCAACCAACTCTGAAATATTTGTCATGCTATTCCAATTCTTGAGAAATCTTACTGATTTTGATACTTTCTGGTGAAATGTTACCATGGTTTTGTACTGTCAGACTACCACAAGTGGGAATATGCCTGGTATACACTCAATTCATGTTCCCTGTGGATGTCAGCTTTATGGTCAATTTATAAATTTAAAAAAAAATAATTTGAGTTTTGTCCAGTCGGCAACTATTTTGATGCACAGAGAATGGTACAAAAGAACATCCCAATTTTAAATCACAACCTCTCAGGTTTGCATTAGAATCATCATTTATAGAGGATGTATACATTATTTCCAATAAAGTTGTTTTATATCTCCCTTGAAGACATGTGTTTAGCGTCAATATCGCGGCACTGTTTGTGTGTAATCAGTTTGTGTCCTTATCTTAATCCATGCCTGAGTGTAAGAGGGCATCAAACATACCAGTAGGTCAGATTGTGATAGCATTAATGTAGTTAGGGATAGACCAATTATAATTGGAGAGGGTGTAATTTGAAGAAGAAAGCAGTGGCACAAGTACTAATATATTGTGGTCAAAACGTGAAAGCATTTTTTAATTGACTTAATGCAAAACCAACATTAAAATGAAGGAGAATATAGAACCCTTAAAATTAACCAATTGCGTGATGCAGAGTATGACATGAAACAAATCATTTCTGTAATACTCTAATAGGTAATTTAAAAGAGTAAAATGTGTTGGTGAATCATTAATATCAAATATCCCGTTTGAAAATTGTTGTCATTCTGTCAAGAGATAGCTAAAACTATACTTCAGGCCAAGAGACAACAGTAATGAGCTCAAATATTCACCTGTAGAGTATTTTTGATAAGATAGTTTTGAGAAACAGTTTTATACACATCACAAAGAAAAATATTCTCATACTGTTTTTTTGTTTGCTTAACTAGGAATCCAAATAAGGCGAGTAAAAATCGTAAATTCTATTTTTGAATGATGACACCTTCAAATGTTGTATTTGCATATGAGGTATGGTATTCTAGTGAATTTATAGTTATCTTAGCTATTACGAACATTAATTGTCAATTCATTATAAAGCATTTGCTTAATTTTGAGTCATAGGCAGAATTCAAAATAGAAACTTCCAGCAATAAAAGGATTCATATAATTTTTTCACATATCCATGGTAACGAGTCTGGTACCTAATTGGTTTAGAAAAATAAATGTTTTTGTGAATGTGTCTAATGCATTTCTCCTCAATGTTATGCAGTAGTATTCAGTAAAAAAAAAAATGAGTGGAATATCAAGTGAGGACTTAAATTGCCTTTCCAGTAATAACAATCTTGAGACTAAATTTACAAACTCAACTGCTAAATAGTATCTATTTATAGAAGCTCTATTTGTTATTTGCATTAAATTATCTGAAGAATCTGTGAAGATGGCACAAGTTGGGGGACGGGACACCAAACAAAATTCATTGTGGATTTTCCTTTATAACGAACAGCGTTTTGCTTAGGAATGCAGGTATCGCCATTTGGGAAGTGTGGCAATGTTCTTTGCAGATAGCATTGTAATTGTGATTGCAATCCAATTCTCTTGGTATGGATATTTTACTGATAATTTTTCAAATTGTCTAAGCTTCCAGATGATTAATGATAAATAGCTTAATGTCCATTGCAATATCGTTATCTTTAATTCCCCTAACAATCTAAAGTACTTAGTGCTGTTATAACCTGCACTATTTTCAATAATGCACAGGTGCAATATCAGAAAACATTCTTATCAACGTCTCAACAATATTGAACTGTCTTATTAGCAAGTGTAAGGAAATACATTAAATTACCATCACTGTATACTGAATAGAAACAATATCCCCTAACACTCGCAATTTGATAGTATTTAAACAATGAGACAGTGAATTTAATTCAACACAGGTTTCAATTTAATAACTAGAAAGCAGTCGCCATGGTGAATTAACAAAACCTCATATTTAGATAGACAGACTCAACATTATTGTGATTAGCAATTTTTTTATATGTATCCAAGGAATATGTAACCATGGTGATTAAAGTAATAAATTAGCTAGACATCATCAAAGATAAACCAACATTCTCTATAGTAAAGGATCTGCATCACGTGTGTATGGCAAGTCTACTCAATGAGTATGTTTACATAGCAACCAAATTTAGAAGGTTGCTGCTGTACATTTTGTACTGTACATGCCTAGTACGTATACCGTATTTGTTCTATTAGTATTGCATCTCTAAGCATATATAAACTGAAAATGACATTTATTTTATTAATAAATCATTAAAATATGACTAATTTGGATCACCGAAACAGCCTTTATTAGTGCATATGCTACTAATTAATCAAATTTGGTAATTTAATTTTTCAGGTAGGGGAACTGCATATTAAAATATATTTGCATAATTAATATTATACCTTTCACCCCCCCCTATGTGAAATGTTTATTAAAAATATGAACATCCACTCAAAACATTCCATCCGTTAGTTAGAAATGAAACATGTCATGGACACAAAAATGTATTGAAAAGAATGCTTAAAGATAGTAGTGTACAAATTTGGCAGGAAAATATAAGGAAACAGGATCATAGTGTTTGAAAAGTAAGTCTTGTATATAGAAAAACTGAAAATAGTTCCTAACCAACATGGTATCCCAAATATTATGTTTGACGAGATGACAGGTAAGAAAAACTAACATTTAATAGATAATACTTTATATTTCTGTGACGTTATTTTATTGTACCAAAATTGAAATTAAAAATGAGGATACACTTTCAACAAAGATTATTTATACGATTTATAACTTGAATACTGCTCATAATTACTGCTCATAGTTAATAAATTGATTCATCTGCAATTAAGCTTTTAACATTCAATGTTTATTACGTATTTTTCACTGGAGGTAATATAGAAAATAAATTAATTGACTGTCTTATCCCACACCTAAATTTTTAATTCAAGCTATCAGAAGTCAGCAAATTTATTTTCACTCAATGCATGGAATGTTATTTCTGTGATAATAACTAGCCCAAAATAGTTTTATTTTGTGAGACTAAATTGTCACGAGTCAGAGAAAACCTAGAAATTTGGTAGCAGTGAATATTTCATTTGGAACCTTGGAAACGACAAGTCACAGTGACTTCCGCGATATTTTGTCTTCTTCAAATTTCACAAATTGATAGTAGTGAAAATGAAATGTTTTTCAGTATTCAAAATGCCAGTCATTACACAGAGCACTTTCAAATTATGTGATAACAAATAATGTATTTTACATGTCACATGGGACCCATATCAAACACGAATGAGAGCAAGGATTATGACGCTTTACGATCATGTGATCAACAGTGCATTCCAGTTCCAATTAAGAAGTTTGGCAGAAGGCATGCTTAATTTTATTATTTGGGATTGAAAAGGTGATCACAATTAATTTGTATCAATCACGCTTGAAAAAATATAGAATATGGTTCTAAAAATCTGTAAAATTAAACAAAATAATTTGTATTTGATTAGTTTTGTCTACTTTACTATGTTTACATTATTATGATCTGAATGTTTGAACCTACAGACGAATAAAAATTCAAATTCCTGAAATTATCTGACACCAGCCGTGAAATGTATCCTCCTTATTATTATTCTATAATAGTATGTTTTTATTCCAATATTTTTGAAACAATGAAACAAAATCATGGTACTGAACTCTGAAAAATTCAATAAATTTAGATTGTTTTCATCTTTTAGCTGCACCACGTGGACTGTCAGTGGATTTACCAGTGTGAAATTTTTTGTATGGGAATATGATTAAATCCATTGAAAACATATGGCCTACAGTTGTGAGTGTATACACCAGTTCAGTCACTTATCACAAGAGACAATAACAGTGTCAAAATTACTGTCATCAATTTATTCCATAATCACAGACTCTAATACTCGGTTTATTGTCCACTATGTTTTAAATATATAATGCCTTTTAATACTGATTTTAGTAAAAATCTTGGAGAGTATTATAAGTTTTTGGAATAAATAAACAAAGCAGAATTCATATGATATCAATTTAATAGTGTTGTGGTAAATTCATGCGAGGGAGACAGGTTAATAAACTAGTGTTTTCATAATTTCATGCAAAGGCATTATTAGACGGAAGGAGGTGAATAAACTTGTAATGATAGCATGTCAAATTAATATTGTGATTATTTCATGTGAGGGCATTATTAGACTGAGACAGGTGAATAAAATGTACTGACCTGGCTGGTGAAACATAGTAGCAACAGCACAGTATAATGTCACCATAGTTGGTTACACTGATGTGATATGAGCTGCCGAGTAGTACAAAATGTACAGTGTGTGTGCTTGCTGCAGAATATACACAATGTCACACACTATTATGTCCTCCACACAGGTTGGGTCAATCCATGTAATAACTCAGGAAATTACCATGACAAAGAAAGTAGCCCTCAGAGGAGAGGGGCATGTTTAATTCTATACTACCAATCAATCAACTTCAAATGTTAAGTATCTCTTTATTGGTAAAACTCAAGAAAATATTAATTGTCACATTTTTTGACTGAAAAATAATGAAATAATATCTAACTATATTTCCTGTACAAGTCAAGTATAAATATAAAGTGGTTTCCAAAGTAGCTGAATGCATTTTGCTGGTGATGATGAAAAAAATTAGTTTATTCTATTCTGAATGAGGGGAGATGGGTCATAATTAGTCAATTTTATCTGTCCCAGTTTGTAATTGCTCATGTATCTTATCATTGAATTAGGTTGTACCATATTATGGAGGGGAGCAATGTATGTTTTACCCATTCATGCTCATTTTACTTCATGCACAGGTCAACCCCTCATTTTTGTTTATCAATGGTACATTCCATTACTATAGAAACAATCTTCCATTGACCCACTTCTCTATTATGGCAAAATATTACCAAAACAGTAATAAAATGACAACATATATGTCAAATAAACCCAGAACTTAACTATATTTTTGTAAAAATAAAATTACAGATTAAAATAAAATAAAAATGTCTAATCTAAAAGCTAGTCTTTAAAATAATGCAATAATACTATCAGCATGCAGCAGCGCATTTTGCAGGCAAGTGTTTCAATGCAAGTTAGAGATCTAAAACAAAGCTCTTCATATTCATTAATCATGTATTGGCAGGGCATGTGATACAAAACACATATGTTAAAATTAGTGTTCCTCTTACAAAAGGAATAATATGCATTTTTCTTTGAAAAAAAACAAATTTAGAAAACTTGTGCGTTAGTGTGCCAATCTGAGATGTTGCAAAACAAGTGCTATGCAAAAAAATGGTGGAGCTTCTGAAAACCTACAGAGCTCAAGAGATTTGCATACCAAAGCCAATATTGTTTTTTTCTATAAAGTATGTACTTGTATTAATAACATACAATTGTATAAAACAATATCATTGTCATCATCATTTTTGTTATAATGCCAACATTCTATTCTATTCTAATATATTCTACTGAGACTAGCTTCCAGGCTCCATCAAATATAAGCATGCCCCCCTAAGATGAGACAATTCCATTCCAAAGTAGCAACCATGTTTCCATTGTTGGGTTAAACCATTTTGGAGAATGGGTATGGCAAGGTGAAGTGTTCTCTCGGAGGTGAAATTGAATTAAAGCAAGAAAGTTAGGAAAAGGTTCTTATTATATAATTTACTGTTTTCTACTGTGTTCATTTAAAAATTATGTTTGTGTGAAATTTAGCACCAATCTGTTAAATCATTTGCCAGGTTACTTTATTCTTCTTTCCACCTCTGAAAGATTATAGATGTAATACCTCTAAAAGCAGTTACCTAGCAACTAAAACCCCTAGCAACTACTTGATATCCATTCTGAATGTCAGAATGCCTGGCTACTGATGTACTATAACCAGATTGGCTACTGCTACATAGAGAAGCCAGATACAGTTATCAAATAGGGTAAGAAAGATCATGATCAAATATTTCAAACAGTTTTTACTTTGTTTAAAAACTTATACACACAATGTATACTTCAGACTCTAACAATTGCAAAAGCCAATTTGGTTACTCCTGTGTCATATGGAATATCTATTAAGAATGCTGGATGCCACAATGACCATCTGGCTACCAGCTGAGCTGCATTCTATTCACCTTCGTCCTCTGACATGTCACTTTCATCATCCTCTCCTTCTACCATCAACTCAGCTGAACATTCAACCTCCCCAGCACTGTTAACAGCCTTCACGGTGTACTCTCCGTCATCGTCATCGACCACATCTCGAATAATTAATGAACAGGTACCATCATCATCAAACTCCATCTCAAACTTCTTACTGTCATGGATTTCTTCACCCTCTTTGTACCAGAAAACATCTGGTTCAGGGTCACCTGAAATTTTACAATCAAACCTCCCTATATCCCCCTCCATTACTGGACAGTCTATGATTTTTTTCACCAGCTTTGGTGCTACGCCCTTCTTTTCATCTTTACGCGTTCGCCGAAATACCCCTTGTATTTTACTTGCAGCCTTAGCAACCTCTGGGTCCCCAAGATCGATATCAATTTCCTCATTAATTTGTTGATCTGGAATCGTTTTGTTAGTTTGTATGTTTTTTTGCTCCTCAGCTTTTGATACTCTGGTTCTCCGGAAAACATCTTGTATCTTAGATGCAGCTTTTGAGACTTCCGGATCATTTAAATCAATGTCTACTTCTTCTTCGCCATTTGTATTGGTTTGTTTCTTAGCTTCTTCATCCCGTTTGGCTTTTAGCATCGCAGAAAATGGAGTTGCTGGTTTGTCTTTCGATGCAGATTTACCCAAACTAGTGAACATTTTTAATGAAGCCATTCGACCAATTGCACGAACAGCATTGGCAGTTTTCTGAAAAGGAAAAGTAAATGTAGCATTGTTATTACAGAACAAAACAAATTAGAGATACATACCTGAAGTAACCTAGCAACAGTTAAAAAAAGAAAGAAGACATATAAGAATAATAAAATGATGATAAAATACTGGCATAGATCATGCACTGTGAAAGAAAACACTCTAATTCATGAGGCAATGTCTTACAATATCGACAACAAAACAAAATGGGCAACAACAATCAGTCAAATAACTGGTGTTGATAATATTAATGATTACTGGAAGGGGGATAGTAAAAGTGTGAAGGGAGTTTTA